GGAAAATCCAGGGTCACTGGCAATTCAACAGCCTCCCCAGTAGGCCAAGACAGTGCCAGAACCTAGTTGTTTATTTCCAATTCTAATTTCAAATAAATAAATTACCTCGGATCTATTCTTGACTTGGTGCATAAAGGGTGTGGTTCAGTGTGGCCTCGGGGCACCCTGTTCTTCGGGCAAGGGTCTTAATCATGACTTCTCTCTCTCTCTGCCTTCAGCTGGTGTCTCCCCCTAACTAAGGCTTCTTGGTACCATTGCTCCTCCTTCAGCTTCTCTTTCCAGTTCTCTAACTGCCTCTTTAGAGAATCCAGCTTGTGATACTCCCGGATCTGCCTCACCAATTCTTCCTGTAACTCCTGATTCTCTCTGCAGACACTAGAGCAAATCTCAGAATTCACCTTCTTGGCTGTTGATGCCAAGGCCCGGGCCTTATTCTTGACCTCCTTGCTTCTGCCCTGTCCCACCTGCAGGCATTTGAGTTCCTGCATCTCCCTGTCTAGGGGGATCTTTTGCTGCAGGAACTGCAAGAATGCCTCTTGGTCCCTTTTAGCAGTCACCGCTTTCATGTCCGCCAGCTCCTCCTGTAACGCCCGGATTTTCATCTCCTGGCCCTTCTTGACTACATTCATATGCTGCAGTGACTGAACCTGCTGCTTCAACTGGAACTGGGTGCTCTTCCCATGCAAGAGCTGCTTCTGAAGGTCTGCATTCTGTTGGGCAAACATGGATGCGAGTTCCTGTTTCCTCCGTCTCATCTCCCCGCACTCCTGGAAATAGTGATTCCACAGGTCCTCGTGTTTCTTCTTGCACAGGTCATTCCGCTTTCTTAGGAACTTCAGGAAGTAGTTGTTCTCAGTCTCCAGGTGGAGCGCCTCCTGTTGCAGTGCCTTGCTGTCCTGCAGCAGCAGCTCCTGCCGACGCCGGGTCTCTTCGATGTTCTTGCTCAGCTTCTCCAGTGCCTCAACTGTCCGCCGTTTTACCTTATTCTCCAATTTTGTGAGCCTCTCCGACTTGAAAAATTCATTTAGAACAGTGAGATACATCGACGGTTGGGGAGATCTGGGACTCGGGACAAACCTGGAGGAAGAATAAAGGAAACCTTCCTTTATCTGTTCTTAGACACAATTGAGAAAACAAGAACCAAAACTAACCCAGATCATTGTATTATTGTAATATGCCTCTCTCTCTCTCTCTCTCTCTCTCTCTCTCTCTCTCTCTCTCTCTCTCTCTCTTTCTCTCTCTCCCTCTCTCTTTCCTGAGACAGGGTTTCTCTACATAACAGCCCTGGCTGTCCTGGAACTCTTTGCAGACTTTCAAGCCTTGAACTCCCAGAAATCCACCTGCATCTGCCTCCCAAGTGCTGGGATTAAAGGCGTGCGTCACCACTGCCTCGCCTTAGTTATGAGTTTTATCAGAGCAATAGAAACCCATCTAAGACAGGGTCTTTCACCAAGCCTGATGCTCACTGATTAAGCTAGGCTTGCTAGCTGGCCAATAAACATCTGGGATCTGCCTATTTCCACGCCCCCATCCCAACCTTAGGAGTTACAGGCGTGTGTTGCCTTGCTCCGCTTCCTAAATTGGTTTTGGTGATCGGAATTCAGGTCCTCTTGCCATGTGGTGGATACCTGAGCCGCTGGACCATCTCCCAGGTCCTCCCCCTTCCATCATTGTTGCCAAGCTTAGACCTTCCTCTCACATCAGTCTCCCTCCTCATCCTCAGTACCTACCTGGTTCTAGACTTCAGGCGTTTATCAGAGTGAATTTGGTGTTCACTGGAGGTATTCGCCCCAAAACTAGTGCTAGGTATCTGCCTTCTGCGAGCATCATTTTCAAGAGGTGTCTTTACTTTGGGGACAACATGATAGGACTTTGCATGGTTAGAGTTGACATCCCATGGTATCATGGTCTCACCTACCAAATTAGTCCTAACAGATTGACTGGATCTATCCCCAGATATCGGGCTTCTGAATTTTGAAATTTGGTTGTCCTGTCCTCGGGATTCCATGTCTTCTCTCACTCGTGAGGAGTCGGGCCTTGCCCCTCCCACGTACTAGTCCACTACCACCACCGCTTGTGGAAGTGCCCTACACACCACCTCAGTTGTCTGGCCCTTCCATTTCTTAGGCACTATCGCCAGTTAGCCCCAGCAAGGTAAAACCCACAGATGCCTCCCTGGCCTACCGCTGTCCCCTATTCCTCAGATTGGGGTCAAATGTTCCCTGCACGATGATCTCATGGAATGTCACAGAAGTCTCTCTAGTGATTTGGTGTCTCTATGGTGAGGGGCTAGACTGCACCTTCCGCCGAGTCTGAGACCTCATGGGACATCAGCCCACTGTGTGTCTGTTGGGATCGAGAACGGCAGGAGTCCAGAAGAATCACCTTTGGAGAAATGACTACTTTGAGGAGACATGGTAGGGGCCTGGTGAGAGGTAGCCTGTGGCAGGAAGGTGGTCAGAGCTGAAGGGAAGGAGAATCTCTGAGGTGGTAGAGAGTCTAGATGGTTGGCTTCTAGGCAACTAGACTTCCACTCCAGGTCCTTTCTCTGGGAAACCTGGGATGCTAACTTAGATCAGTTACTGTTGTCTTCTGCATATCCCCAGTGCACAGCAGGTGTAACTCTCCATGTTGTACACTGTCTTAAGGATGAAATAGATGCTTTTTTTGGTTTTTCGAGACAGGGTTTCTCTGTGTAGTTTTGGTGCCTGTCCTGGATCTCTGTAGACCAGGCTGGCCTCGAACTCACAGAGATCCACCTGGCTCTGCCTCCTGAGTCCTGGGATTAAAGGCATGTGCCACCACCGCCCGGCAAAATAGACATATTCTTAAAAGCCAGGGTTTAAGAATACATAACTCAGAGCTGGAGAAATGGTTCTCAGGTTAAGAGCACTGGCTGCTCTTCCAGAGGTCTCGAGTTCAATTCCCAGCAACCACATGGCAGCTCACAAACATCTGTAATGACATCTGGTGCCCTCTCTGGCTTACAGGCATACATGCAGGCAGAACACTGTGTACATAATAAATAAATAAATCTTTTTAAAAAAGAGTAACTCTTGCCTTGAATACAGAGGAAGCTGTCATAAATTAGCAGTGAAGCATCACTGAAGCAGGACCTACCATGTTCTGGGAATGAACAAAGAGCAAAATTGAAGTCAACAAGGATCCTCTTGTTATGACATTAATGTTCTAATAGCGAAAAACGCCAGGCAGTGGTGGTACACACCGTTAATCTCAGCACTCGGGAGGCAGAGGCAGGCGGATCTCTGTGAGTTTGAGGCCAGCCTGGTCTACAGGGCTATAAGAAACACCTGTATTCATACAGTAAGGAGGAGACTAAGAGTGAAGGAAGTGCTGTTCGGTGGGCAATCAAGCTTTTGAGCTGAGAGTTGATTGCTGAGCATAGGCCTAGAACATAGGCGTAGCACAGGACATTCAGGGGACCAGAAGAGGGCACGGGAGCAGGCGCGCGCACACACACACACACACACACACACACACACACACACACACACACACACACCAGACAGACAAATAAATAAATAAAATTTTAAGAAATTCAGTGAACGAGAGGGGCTGAGATGTAGCTCAGTTGTCAGAGTGTTTACCTGGTGTACAAGGAGCCCCGAGTTCACTGTCCAGCACCAATTAAAGCTTGGTGTGACAGCACACACTAATCTCAACAGTCTGGAGGTGGACATAGGAGGACCTCCTCTTCTACACAGCGAGTCAAAGGCCAGCCTAGGAAAGGCTGCCGAGATGATGGATCAGTGGCCAGAAGCCTTTGCTGCTCTTGTAGAGGACCTGGGTTCAGTTCTCAGAACCCACGTGGTGGCTTTAAAAACATACATGGGAACTGGGGTATGTGGATGGTATTGCAGTCTTGGATGGGCATTTAGTATCCATCTTTCAGGACCGCACAAGTGTAACACTTCTCTAGTGGTTTTCTGGAGCCAAACATGCCTTGATTGACACACCCAGACCAACTGAAGTATTCACCTGGTCAGCTCTGGGAAAATCATCACCAAGGCCCTGGGGAGTGTTCTTGAACTTTGTTCATGAGACGACCTGAGTTTGATCCCTGGAATCCACATGATGGAAGATGAGAACTGACTCCCATGAGTTGTCTTCTGACTCCCTCAGGTTCACTGTGGCATTCAAACACACACACACACACACCACACACACACACACACACACACACACACACACACATATTTAATCAATCCATATTATCTGTATTATATGGATTACCATGCCCAGAATCCATGCCTCTTTCTTTCCTTCCTTCCTTTCTTTCTTTTTTTGTTCGTTGAGACAGGGTTTCTCTATATAGCCCCAGCTGTCCTGGAACTCACTCTGTAGACCAGGCTGGGCTCAAACTCAAGAGATCAGCCTACCTCTTCCTCCCCAGTGCTGGGATTAAAGCTGTATGCTACCACCATCCATGTGTCTCTTTTAATAGGACTAGAAATGTCACTTGCTGTTAATAGAAGAAATCCTGAGTTGTATAGAAAAAAAATTTTTGTTTTTTGGTAATGACTTATTTTTATTTTCTGCTTGCATGTCTGATGGAGACTTAGTAATACACACACACACACACACACACACACACACACACACACACGTTCACATTGCTCAACATCCTATGTGTACCAACTACTGTTGCCCTTGTTTTGTTTTATTCTAATGAATTCTAAAAGCTGAATACAGTGGCCAGGCCAGGCTATAGGAGTCTTGTTGATTCCTGGCCTTGGGAAGGATAAAGAAAAGGCCTGCTACAGGAGGCCCACGGGAAACGTGTCATGTCCCCTGCATCCGCTCCCCTTTGCTGCCATCATTGTGAGTAGCAGATTTCAGGAGCCAAGGAATTATAAAAAGACGTGGAACTCCACCCCCACCCCACCCCCCACCCCCCGACCCCGGCCTGCGCCATCTTCTGAGTCCCATGTGGTGTCAGCACGGAGTATGATAGCAGAGAGGCAGCAAACAGGGCCACAGACTTTCTAATGAGTCATTTTATTTGCCATTGTCAAATATTATCCAAGTCCTTGTCACCGGAACTTAACATAGCTTCTCATTTCTCCCCTCGACGACCCTCATCTACTACAGGACCTTCAAGGGTGTAAGTAGGAACAAAAACAGCACAAAGACATCATTTCCTCAACTTGCTTCAAAATGACCCCTTCTGGCAGTGCCCAATTCAAGTTTTAATGCCCCGTTATTGAAAAGTGGTCTTCACAAAGCACACATGATAAAGCTATTTAGAGGAGCACAGAGAACAGAGACTTGCGGGTGGCGAACAGCCTTTCCGAGTTTGAAAAGGTAGTATTTGTCCACCTCAAGGTTAACATTGTGAGTGGCACGTGCCACACAATAGGCAGGAATAGAGGAGAACAGTATTTACACAGGAGGAGGAAGAGGAACCAGGAACACGACAACAAGGCTACTTACTCTAACCCATGTTCCAAAGATACCCACCCTCACGGGGAGAGAGTCCACTCAACACCACCAGACAGGCATGAGGTACAGAGAGAGACCATTCTTTCCGGCTCCAGAGAAATATCTACATCTGGTGTCCAAAGCTCACGATATAAAGCAGATAGAACTCCATATACAAAACAGTAGGACAGTATTCTCAGAGTATTCAGGGACAGAGGCGGGCCAATGCCCTGGCTGAGGACACACGTGGGCGTGGCCTAACGAGGTAAGTGCAGGGAGAGGGCAAGCACACCCTGAACCCCAGTGGCCTTTCCAGAGGCCAGGGCACCGAGTCAACACAGCGGGGGACTGAGTCATTTCCCAACCCTTAAAACCAAGGAGCGAAGTCGGGCTTTTGGGGCACTGAAACTGGCACCCCAGGAAAGTGGGGCAGTGTTTCCTGCCCCTGCCCTGCCCTTCCTTCTCACCTTAGTGTGTGGGACAGACCCCTGAGGCTGTGTTTTCATGCCTGTGGGTCCAGTTAGTCCCTGCTCCAAGCATAGTGAGCGTCCAGCTTTTTCATGCTACATCATTTTCTTTCCTCAACAGTAAAATCAAATTACAGACAAGTATCCTCCGTCAGATTCTGCTTCCCGGGGTTCGGGGTCACACTACAACAAAAGCGACGGCTCTCCTTTCTAATCTTCTATGTCACAAATGCAGAAAGATAAAACATGTCATGGCTTAAAAAAAAAAATCAGTTTGGATCTGTTTTATGAGCTAGATGATGGAGTCGCCACTAAATCAACAAAGACTCCAAGAACATTCATAACCCGGGCAGGAAAGAAGAAAGAAAGCCAGCCGAAGGTTTCTTAACCTTGCGCAGGGCCCGGGGACCTGCAGATGCTTTTCTAGGGGGACCTCTTTGGACAACAGAAAAAGCAAAAGGACTCTAACGGGAAGATGAATTTACTAAGGCGGGGGGTGGGGGGGGTGGGGTGAAAGTGAACTAGTCAGGAAGACCGTGAAATGCACACAGAGGAGCTGAGAGCCACAGCCCAGCAGCAACATCTGACAGCATCTTCACCCAGCCCCTGGACCCAGGCCTCCCCTGCACACGTCTCCATGACAACAGCATCACACCCACTCTCCTAGGAGCAAGACCAGTGCCTACTTCCTCCCTCGTTTGTGAGTGGTCTTGGCGGGCTCTGCTTTCTGGGACTGCGCTGGCACTGGCTCCTGCTCTGACCCCTTACATAAAGCGGACACCACCAGTTCCTCATTCCCGCCCTGCCCCTTCCCTGCCCTCGGCTCCGGCTGGCTCTCTGGAGGCTCGGGGTGCGGCTGCTGCTGCTGCTGCTGCTGCTGCCTTCTCAGAGACCGCCGGCTCCCTTGCTGCTGCCGCTGCTTCTCCTCTTCCTGCTGTCGCTGCTTTATCTTCATCAGCTTCTCGAAGCTCTTGGTGGTGGTCGGGTTTACAATGAACCAATCCTAAAAGGGCGAAGCAGAAACGGGGGCCACTTAGAAACGCCACGAGGGAAACACGAAGGTACAGGAAGGATGGAGAGAAGGTAGTGTTAGGTGGATAGTATAGGAATGAGGGAGCACATGGGCCCTCAGAGCTCCATTTTAAACTGGAGAAATCCAATATGCATCAGTTCTCTTAAGTGAGTACTGTGTAATGAATGCACGATTCTGTGTAACTTAATACGTGATCCAGACACAGGTGTGGCGGTGCATGTCTGGACTCTTAGCACTTAGGGTCGTTTCTGGACACGCAGCAGGTCTGAGTGCAGCCTGGCTGTACTAAGACCTTGTCTCAAAAATCCAAAACCTGGGCTGAAGAGATGGCTCAGCAATTAAGAGCACCAGAGGACCCAGGTTCTGTTCCCAACCTAACAACGAACATCCCACAGCCACCCGTAACTACAGTTCCCGGGGACCTGACATTGGCAGCAGCAGCACAAGGTGGTACACGTACTTACATGCAGGCACACAATTTTACACAGTGAAAGGAAAGGAAAAGGCTGTGATCATAGAGTGTATCTACGCGGCGTCATGTCACCTGTCACCTCCTGCTGTGTAACACCCTGGGACGGAAGCGCTGGCTCACGGGGACGCTCATGTCACCACACTACAGTGACAGGAGCGTGAATTTCCCATCAGAGCCTGAGTGCAGTTCTCCTCTCCTCTGGCTTCCTGGAAGTCACTTCATCCCTTTGAGCCTCATTTAAAAAACCATGGGGTGGTGGCGCACGCCTTTAATCCCAGCACTCGGGAGGCAGAGCCAGGAAGATCTCTGTGAGTTCAAGGCCAGCCTGGTCTACAGAGAGAGAGATCCAGGACAGGCACCAAAACTACACAGAGAAACCCTGTATTACAAAAAAAAAAAAAAAAAAACCCAACCAAAATCATGGGGTAGAGGAAATTTATTATATTCTGGAAATGCATGAGCCTGAATCTAAGTAATCCAATTAATCTCCCAGGTGGGACGATCAACTCACTGGAAACAGCTAGGAGAAGGAGCGCTACCACAGGACAGATCAGCACATTCCCCAGTGGGCAAAGTGAAGCCTCCCAACCACACGATGAAAGGTGACAGTCACTGGCCACCTATGCCTAGTGAGCTCTTGAAACAGGGGAAGTCCTGTTTATAGGGGCTCAAAGATGTCCAGCCATAGTGGGCTCAAATATCTCCACAGAAAGATACATTTACCACTCTTCTAATTTCTGAGAGCATTTTAACTCTGGCAAGTTCTCAACCTTAATTACTTTGCCAGTCCTAGTACGTGAAGCCGGGGACAAGGTCCACTCCTTACAGCTTGAAGACGGACACACAGTTACAGAGACCCAGGGGAAGTGGAGCCCACACCTCAGCTTGAAGACGGACACACAGGGCTACACAGACATTAGGGGGAAGCGGAGCCCGCACCTCAGCATGGACAGAGTTGATGTGATACTTGACGCCACTCTCTGAGACAAATTCTTTCTGACACAGAAGACACTTGTATTTTCCAGCCACAAAGGTGCCCTGTTTGCAAGACAGAAAGAAGAGAGAATTAGGGGTAATTTCAGGAAAACATACCTGGGCGTTGTGCAGGGACTGTGAGAGATGAAATGGGGGCGTCTGCTTAATCAGAAACCATAGGGAATGGTCCAAAATGGTGATATAGATATGAAAACCGTATCTATATAGATACAGACATGAAAACCAGCTGAGACGAACTCTCACCGCCACACACCTGTCCGGATGCCATTCTGCACCAACACCTGCTGCCCTGCGACACAGCCTGGCATTCTCCTGCTCCCGATACGTTCCGGGCCACTGTTTCTACCTTCTTGGCTCCTTTTTGCTTCATATTTGGCTTTCCTTGATTCCTCTCCACCAATAATCAAACCCCCCAAGTTCACTAGAGGCACCAGGCTCTGTCCTTCCCACTGTGAACCATGGCGGAAACCGTGCCTTGGAAATCCCAAATAAGATGAATACCATCCATAGTTCCTAGTCTAAGGACTCGGAAGCTAGGATCAGGGTGACACTCTCCTACGCACTGCTACACAGACCTGGCTGACATGTCCACAGCTCCCTCGAGGCCTTGAAATGAGACCCCCGCCTCCCCTCCTGAGGCCGCACATTTCAATGCTGCTCATGCTGTGTGAGGAGATACTTCTCAGTGGGACTGAAACGTGGACACCTGGGTCACCATGGAAATGATTCAGAGAGATGAGTGGTTGTTAGCCTGAGTCCCTGTCCTCCCTCCCATCCCATGGGGCCAGCAGAGTCGAGATGGGTTTGGAGGATCTTCACCAGTCCAAACAAGTTTTCAGGAAGATTATGGCAAAATAAGGCAAGGGAAGCCCAGTGTGTGAGGCCAGGGAGGTGAAGGCAGTCTCTGGTTGTGATTCCAAATTCATAGGGTTTTCTTCCAATTCCCTAAATGAGCATGACATGAATTTGTTGAACTTTTCTGCATCCTAGATGCACCCTGCTATTCCATCTAATATGAGACCAAGAATGGTCATGATACTGAGGCCGAAGGGCAGCCTCTGAAGATGACGACCAACAGAACGACTGGCTGTTCCCCTAGAGAGAATTCTCTTCTACGCCAGACTACTGGAGAGGACGCATTAAGATAGTAAATTGAAAATGTTACAAACCAGTGTGCAAGAGCCCAGGTGAGCTTTAAGGCCAGATACACTGCTGTAGACAGCCTCACATCCCTGCAAAAGAGAAGTGACCTCTCTTAGCAACACGGTCATTTACACTGGCCAGTTCCACATCAATCGCCAGTGCCACAAACCAAATCCTAAAAAGACACACACGAGAGGACAGAGGCAGGAAGGAAACCCAAAGGAAAGACGCGAAGGAAGGTGGACATGTAAGCTTGAGCCGTTCCTTTCCCTGATCCTCTCTCTGACATTTAACAAAATACCCAGTTTCGGTTATATTTTTTACTCTATTTTATTTGGTGTAAATATATTAACTACATTTGTATTTATTCCCTCCAAAAGGACGGCACTATCAGCTCTGGTACCAATTTTAAAGATAGCAGCAAAGCTCTACCACTCTATCATTGGAAGTGGAGTCCATTCACATTTTCTCTGAGTCTAGGTTCGCCCTACTGTGATGGTCTGAATTAAGAAATATTGCCCCACAGACTCCTGTCTTAGTTACTTGATTGCCGTGAAGAGACACCATTGACTAAGGCAACTTATAAACGAAAGCATTTAATCGAGGAATTGCTTACAGTTTCAGAGGGTCGGTCCATGACCATCATGGCAGGAAGGACGGCAGCAGACAGGCAAGCATGGTGCTGGAGCGGTAGCTGAGAGCTTACATTACCCACAAGTTGGAAGCAGAGTCAAAGCTAGCTGGGAATGGCCTGGACTTTGGAAACCTCCAAGCTTGCCTGTTCCCAGAGACACACCTCCTCCAACAAGGCCACAGCTCCTAATCCTTCCCAAGTAGTTCTGCCAACTAGGAACTAAGCATTCAATATATGAACCTGTAGGGGCATTCTCATTCAAACCTCCACAGCTCCCATACGACCCTGGTCCCACTTGGTGATACTGTTTGGGAAGTTGTAGAACTTCCAGGAAGTGGAGCCTTGCTGGAGGAAGTGCATCATTGGGGGTGGGATTTAAGCATTAGTCCCACTCAATTTCCTGTCTGCGCTCTGCTTCAAGCTTGCTTTTGAGGATATGGACCTTTAGCTTTCCGTTCCTGCCGCCACACCTGCCACCCGCCATCACATCTGGCACCCACCACTATGCTTCCCCACCGTGATGGGCTCTTGTCCCTCTAAACTGTGAGCCCAAATAGACTTCCTCCTGTGAGCTGCTTCTGGCCATGGCGTCACAGCAACAGAAAGGGAACTAATATACTGTGATGCCTTTGACTAAGGCTGCTATGGAAGTGAGGCTGTACAAATTGTGCAGTGGGACCTTAAAAGATTTGCATCTTTTACTTCTGTGTCTGAAGTTAGTCACTTACATTCCCTACTGGTAATCCTGCTGTCCTGCAGATAGAGACACCATATGGAGTGCCATCTGCTCAGCTGAATGCAGCTGCATGGGACATTCCAGTTCATGGCCCCCATGAGTGATCTCAAATAACGCTGCGTATAGCAGCAGGGCTGTCCTGACGATCTCAACAGAATTATGGAGGTCCCCAATTCTGAACAGACTCAATAACTGTTGCACGTATCCACTACAGTTCAAGGACTTGGTCATGAATCAACCAGTAACTAAAACAGCAGATTCTCCAGAAGCATTTGCTGATATAATGAAAGAGGAAGAATCACCTGGTTAGGACACTGGATGCGATGATACTTCTTGATATCTGTCTTCCACTTGTGCAGTACCTCCTGGCTGAATGTAGGTAACCCAGGGCGAGTATATTTCAACTAGAAGACAAGAAACATTGCGAGAATGCAACTCCCAATGGTAACACTCCCAAACTTCATGCCTACTGTAAGAAACGGATAGTTATTTCCACCATGCATGTGAACGCGAATGCAGTGTCTGCAGAGGCCAGGGAGAGGCTTTGGATCTGCTGGAGCTGCAGTTACAGGCTGCTGTGAGCTGCCAAATGTGGGTGTTAGGAAAAAGTGCTCTTAGCTACAGAGCTACCATTTCTGACTGCTCGTCCATAGGACCGGGGTTCAATTCCCAGTACCCACGTGGCAGCTCACAACTGTTTTTAACTCCTGTTCCAGGGGATCCAATGCCCTCGTACCTGCAGGCAAAACACCAATGTACATAAAATAAAAATGAATCAATTAAAAAGGAAAATGCAAATAGAATAATTCGGGAAGTGGCATTGCCCTTCTCTACTGTTCTGTTCCTATAAGTTTGCCTCAGAGCCATGGCAACATCACACACACATACACAGTGGTGATTTGCATGAGAATGATCCCTAGACATCACTCCAGCTGATCCTGATGCCACGTCTCCCTGATCCACCATGCCACAATAGTGATGGACTCTTACGCTTTGGAACTGTAAGCCCCAAAGAAACCACTTCTTCTCTAAGTTACCTCAGTCATGGTGTTATATTACAGCAACAGAAAAGTAACCCATAATCTCAACCCCCCCTCCCTCTGTGTGTGTGTGTGTGTGTGTGTGTGTGTGTGTGTGTGTGTGTCTACGTATGATTATATATGGGCTTTATGTAGGCCCATGAACACCTACATATATACAGCATGGCTCTGCACTGGCAGGACCCAGAGGCAATGAGAGCCAAGTAGGAAAGAACGCACTTGGCACTCGTATCTTCTGCTCTATAGTCTAAACATATTCTCTTGACAGGAACCCGCATAGCTTATACGAATGGTTAATTTCAGGAGTGGGAAAACACAAGCTAATCTTTCAGTATCTTATGGTGTTCAAAACAAAACTAAACAAGTGTGGGCTGGAGAGACGGCTCAGAGGTTAAGAGCACTGGCTGCTTTTCCAGATGACCTGGGTTCAATTTCCAACACATACAATTTACAATCATCTGTTAACTCAAATCCTAGAGGATCTGATGTCTCCTGGCCTCTGCAGATACCAGGCATGCACGTGATGCATGTATATACATGTAGACAAACACTCACACACATAAATTAGTTTTTGTTTTTTTGTTTTTTGTTTCTCAATACAGGGTTTCTCTGTGTAGCCCTGGCTGTCCTGGAACTCACTCTGTAGACCACTCTGGCCTTGAACTCAGAGATCCACCTGCCTCTGCCTCCAGAGCACTGGGATTAAAGGTGTGCACCACCACACCCAGTAATAAATACGTTTTTTAAAAGTAAAGAAGTGTTTAGACACATCAAAAGACTCAGGAGTCTACTTGACTTACCTCTGATACTCCAATCTGGGTCGATTGGAGCAGAAAGCTAAATACTACTAGTAATGAATTAGAACCTATAGTGTAAACTAAGTATCTAATAGAGCGAGTCTCTATGCAGAGCTAAAGACTGCACATTTGCCGAGTCAACCAACTGCAACTCATGAAGACTGTGTATGGGGCTGGCGGGACAGCTGAGGAAAGGCACTTTCCTGATGACCTAAGTTTAATCCATGGGAGTCACGTGATGGAAGTTGTCCTCTGACACCCATATGCACCCCTCCCCATAAATAAAATAGAATTTTTTTTTTTTTTTTTGGTTTTTTCGAGACAGGGTTTCTCTGTGTAGCTTTGCGCCTTTCCTGGGACTCACTTGGTAGTCCAGGCTGGCCTCGAACTCACAGAGATCCACCTGGCTCTGCCTCCCGAGTGCTGGGATTAAAGGCGTGCGCCACCACCGCCCGGCTATAAAATAGAATTTTTAAAAATAGGTAAAGACTGTGTGTGTGTGTGTGTGTGTGTGTGTGTGTGTGTGTGTGTGTGTGTGTGTGTGTAATGTAATTTCCAGATACTATTCTTGTCACTATTTCCTAACTAATACAGAATTACAATTACTTTGTTTTTCCAGCACAGGGTCTCACGGAGTAGCCAAGGCTGGTCTTTAATATGCATGCTCTACCCCTTGGTCTCCCCAGTGCTCTGTCCACCACCACACATGGTTCAGAAACACTTGTAAAACAGTTACTTTGTATCAGCTAGTTAATCTAGAAACGATTTAAAGTATACAGGAGGTATGCACAGATTCTAGGCAAATACCATACCACCTGGTATAAGGTGTTTGAGCATCCATAAGATGTTTGATCGTCCATAGAATACCATCCTTTGTGAGGTTTTTCTGCAACTAATTCCTCATGAATCATGAGGGAAGGCTTTGCTGACAGTGATACATTTTTCCCACAGTACAGTTTCAATGAATGACTACAAAAGCTATGAAATAAGTGAAAGTCGGTCATTAAGTAGCACCACAGTTACACTTACCACAGGAAAGGTTCATCAATGAATGCTGACCAAAGCGGGTAGAGTATAAGACAGAAGACCTTTGTGCAGGCTTGGCCTCTACTCCAACTATGCACTAATTAAAGGACCAGTGTAATTTTATCACTGAGTTACCCAGAAGACACACGCTTGCCAACTGATCAGTTAGCACCACAGAAACTTTTTGCTGATCACATCAGTACCATGTATCTTCTGACTCGATGCATCAAGAAGGTCCAACATTGCCTGGATGGTGTTTCCATGGAAACCATATGGCCTTCAACCTAAGCTCAAGAAAATGCCACACAAATCCATACAGGGAAACATCTATAAAATATCGAGTAGCAGCAACACTTGACCTTACCTTCCGATCATCAGGTACCAGGTCCTGGAGCACCTTCCTCTTTGGCCATTCCTTGGTCAGCTCAGCAGAGGCCAGCTCCTGCAGATGGTACACGGCTATCTTGGCAGAACGCCGCTGAACTCGGCCTCCGCCCTTTGCTTCCAGATTCATCTCCTTCAAACAGTCTGTCTGTCCTGATTCTGGGAAGAAGACCTGCAAGAGTGAGCCATGAAAACAAAGTGGCTTCAGTCACAGCCAGTGATTACACACGATGCCCTTCTTAGCAGGATAAAGTCTATGACACTAGCACACAGGGGTAAAGACAGGCAGAGCCTCGGAGTTCACTGGCCAGGCAGTCTTGCTAACAGGGCAAGTCCCAGAGGCATTTCGGAGTTCACTGGCCAGCCAGTCTAGCTAACGAAGGCAAGTCCCAGAGTCATTGCGAGACTCCACCTTTAAAAATAAGGTGGAGTGAAACTGAGAAAAGACTCTCAATGCAGACCTCTGACTTCAACATGCATGTTCACACATGTATGTGTACACACACACAAACACATCCACACACATATTCCCCCAACACACAAAGGGTAAGGCAGAAGGAGGAGATAGCTCAGTCCGTTAAGGTTGGTCCCCAAAGCCCACATTGAAAAGACAGGTGTGGTGGT